TAAACAGTGGCGATTAGATCAAATGAGTCGTGCTCATCTAAAGGGGCCCTTTCTGGAATGGATGGTCTTTAGTGAAACTCCTGTTGCTTTCCTCACCCCTGTCATTTTGTTTCATTAATGCTTTCTTGTGTCATTATCCACTGCTATAGTGTGAAGCTGCAGGTCCCATTTAGAGCCTGGCTGCAGTTCCATCAACCAAGCTTCTGGCTACAATCCGCTGACCTCTTTTTGTTGTCCATCAATATATGTACTGTATATGGAATTGTGTCTGGAATTTAATATTGTCCGTTTTAACTTTACCATGTGACGTGCCTGAAGATGGCATATGTTGTTAATTGGGCGCTTTACATTAGTAAAATTGAACTGAATTGAATTGACTGTCTTCTGAGTTCAAACAAATCATAATTGTCATCTTTTTTTAACAGAGAATACTGCATGACAGCAATTTTTATACACTTCATACCCTGTTTGTCCAATCTTGTTATGAACTAAATTTTAGGTATATGAATGAGGCCTCTATACCTCCATGTTCATTTTGTTTTTTGTTCTCTTATGTGTTGCTTATCTGCTATCCTTCTCGCTCCCCTTTACCGTCACCCCAACAGGTTGAGGAAGATGATCGTCCTTCTTGATCCTGGATCTGCTGGAGGTTTTTTCTTGTTAAGGGGGAGTTTTTTTTGCTTCCCACTGAGCTTGCCCAAAGCGAATATTTGGATTTGTTGGATTTCTATCCATATTGTCATCAACTCCTTACCTTACTAAATGAAGTGCCGCAAGATGACTTATGCTGTGAATTGGCACAATATAAATAAAACTAGAAATTTAACAGTCTTCTGAGCTTAAATAAAGGTTAAAGGAATGAATAATGTCTGTAGTTTTGTAAGCAAGACATTAGTTGGTTCTTTATGGTCTGGTCTTGTGATCATTCTCATGGCTTTTTTAAAATATGAAAATTGGATGTGTATGGATTTTACATGCATATTGCTCCACTAAAATCATCAAGGTTGAAATTTTGTTTTATTTTGCATGTCAGATCCATCTCTCCTTCTGTCACTATAAACTGTTAAATCAAGGTAAAAATGCACATAAATATAGTTTAAAAAAACAAACAAACAAAAAACATTTAGTTAAATATTAAAGCTTGTAATTCCATGATTCTCATAAATCAGAAACAAAAGTCCCTGCACTTAATTATTTACAATATGTATTGTTTAACTGAAATATGTCCAACAATGGAAGGGTAGATTTACGCAAAATTCCCCATAGTTTGGGGTTTTATTTTGTTTTATTTACTCAGAACCTGAGATATCCATCTCTGACATATCTGCCTCCATCACAGTTATGAATGAAATTTCATTTATGCTGCTCACAGCACTGAAAAATCTAATTAAAAAAAATAATCAACATCTTTTTCCAGAGAGAACGCAACCCTGGATAATCCACAGGCTTTATTTAAATTAAAATTACTTTGTTAGAAATAGTCCCTGCAAAGACAGCTCACAGTGTTTTCTGCGGATGATGTTATCTTTATGCACCAAATCTTTTGTATTCAGGAGAAGCAGCTAAATTATCAGATGTGTCCATGACTCTCATTAAAAGACACTTGTTATGTATTTGGCATTTGCTTAGCACTGCTGGAGAGCATGTAAGTAGCTGTAAGCAAGTTAAGTTTTCACTTGAGTTTACAGTGTTCCTCTTGGGGCAGCTTGTTTTTTTCCTTTGGAAAATGTCAGGATGCCACGCTGCACTTAAGATCTGTCTCATGGCCCAGTTTAGTCTGAATCCAGTAAGTGGTAAGCAGGAGACATAATATAAAAGGCAGATACCACTCAAAATTTTACATTAACGTTCAAGGCAAACTATAAAAAACAACATTCCAGTTTAAATGTTTCGATGGCTGTATTCAGTATTTTATTGATACAACCACATATAAAATATAGACTAAGCACTTTAAATGTAATTTTTTGCTGCTTTTTCTGTCCTACTGTGTCTTTAATTTCATCGCATGAATTGCACAATTTGCCACATGCTCTCTTTTCTTATTGTACATACATTAAAGAGATCCCAGTTTTCATTAATATTTCCTTGTGCCTTTTCTTCTTATCTCAGATGTCAAACAAAGATGAAAAGAAGGTCTCATGGCTGTAATTATAATGAATTACAAGCAAAAGTCCCACAGCTATGACTTTACGTAAGTAAATGCCAGCAACATAGTTAAATACTAAAAGTTATTCTTTAATCATAACTGCAATATAAACCTTTTCTGTACTGATGTGTTCTCATTTGATATAGTGTGGAGAAGTCTTATCTGTAACAGTGCAACATGTTTCATAACAGTATCATAAGTTTTGCCTGTGAAACTTTTTATTGTATTATCTGCAAAGTAAATGTAACTAATTATGAAATACATACAGTGGAGTTAAAGGTACAACATGTCCATTTGAAATGTTTGAGTTTAGGGCTGCATTAATGTGAATAAAATGCAAATTTCTATTTATTTGACCTTTATTTTACCAGGTAAAAATGTCTGACAACCAGTTCTCATTTGCAAACATGACCTGGCCAAGAGACGCCAGCAGGAACAAATACACATGTAAATTACACCCACAAATAGACACATAAACATAACATAGAACAAAATTACATGTGTAGGTTGCATGGGAGCATATGCGTGTGAGTAAAACACAATGTGCATGAGGTGTGAGAAAGAAATGACAACATCTGAACACAGTATGTACGCACATAACTTGAGTAACTATACTTCACACCACTACCTGCAACGTATGATTGCAACTGAAAAACTAAACTCAATCAAGCAGCAGATCAATTTTTAAAGATGAAATTACTGAATGAACTGCTTCATGTATGTTGTGTTGCTTGCAGCATCCTCAAATAGTCCACATCAAACAGTTACAGTCTAAAGAGTATGTCAACTAAAGCATGCTACACTTGTAATATTTCCAGTGTACATGCTTTGTTTACTTGTCATATTTCAGACTTTAAGCTCAGAATAGTTTTGTTTATTTCCAATTAGATTCACGAGCTGATGTTTCTGGCAATTTCAGCAGCCAGAATCCTAGAGTTACTGACAAAACTTGCAGTTGTAATGCTACAAATCCAAGTACTTTCCTGAGGGAACGCGCTGGCACCTTTATTGCCGTTCATTATGCTAACTTGTTGTGTTTTTACAGGCCTTATTCCACAGATTGTGCAAATCCACCCTTCGTAGTAGTAGTGGTTGATTTTTTCCTTAAACTTGTTTTATTTTTATTTGTTAATCGTGCTCTTGAGAGCCCGCAGAAACAGTAACTCATTGTAAGCAACAAACAGCAGGACTTTTTCTTTAGATTTCATATGTCTGCGCCTTAAAATGTTTGAGTACTGAAATTCTGATGCGACACTGTCTATGTTTGCGACTTTTCTTTGAGAAAGTTGCTGTCTTCCACTGATATTCTAAGTTAGTTGTCGTCAGGTTATTTCAGAGCACAGCTGCACGGGAGGGCCGATTTTGTGTTCATATGTTGACATAACTCATATACAGTCTATCAGCACTGAGTTGCTGGTGGACTTAATCTCCAAATATGAAAATATGATTGATTTTGTACATAAGCCACATGGGGGTGTTGTTTGCTCGACATGGAAACTTCTGTCAACAGGAAGTACGAGCTTTAATTTCATCAGTAATTAATTTATTTGATTTCGATCTATGAATTCAAAACAGACGAAGAAACACAAAAATAATTTTAAAAAGAAAAAAAAAAATAAAGCACAACTGAAGACATATAAGGCACGCAAGGGCTTAAACAAGCAATGAAACAGAATCCTGACCTCTGAAAAGCTGCAGGCCAAAGCCAAAGCTTATCACACCTACCTACCCTTGTTTGAACTTGCACAAGCTGCACAGTCCAGACAATAGCTAAACACAAAGCTAGTCCTTAACATATACACACACACACAAAGCAAGCACGTGGACGTCTACATCCACCAATTATAACAGAGGTGGATTGTAAATTTGTAAATTGTTCACCTTACCATGTGAAGTGCCTTGAGAGGACTTAGGTTGTTAATTAACTGATCGTATATACATACAAACAAGTTGAATTAATTGTCTTCTGGATTTAAATAAAAATTGAATGAATAAACAAGGTTTGCAGTTTTGTAAACAGGACATTACTTGCTTCTCTATTGTTTTATTTAATGATAATGTGCGATATTGCACATTCCCAGTCGAAGTACCTTCCTGCACAATTTGTGCAGCTGTCTTGCTGCAAATACTTTTATTACTTCAACAGATGTGATTTGCTACACTTGCTTCTTTTTTTGTTTTTGTTTTGTTTTTTAACGTGCAACGTTTTTAAAGAAAAGTTTGCCTTTTTTCTCTCTCTACTTGTCAGTGTTTACTATTATGCACCAAAACACCAGGTCAAATTCCTTGTATGTGAAAACCTACTTCTGATTTTTAATTCTAATGCAATCTTTTTGCCATATGACAACTGGATGTACATAGGCCTTGTATGCATCTGTCCACATCTCTAAGCACGTGATATACAATAACTGAGCAGAATAAAACCTGCAGCACATGGATCCATCATAATTTATGATCAAGTCCAACACCCAGAAATTTAGTTTGATGCATTCTATGTCTGCAAGATTATTCATTGCTTTAACCTGTGTTTAAAAGACAATTTGCAAAAACTGATCAATTTTTCAAGACAACTTACTTACAAGACACTAATTTCTCTTTCAGCTATTCTGAAACTGTCATTTAAATGAATGCCAGAGCAAAAAAAATAACAGAGTCCTGCAAATTAGACACAATGCAAACCGTTTTAAACCAAGAAATTAACCAAGCGGCATACTGCAACTGTGCTTCTATTTTTATCTTCTTAAGTAAGTTGGTTCAAAGTTTACTCAAAAAACGTGGACGAAGCATATGCACAAACAACCACCTGACAGCAATCTTTTAAACCACTCCCCGCTGGGTCATTATAAATCACTTAACCTTCTGCGTCAACGGCACCCAACACAGACGCCATCGTTCCTGTTGTGCTAAAGCAAAGAAGACTGAAATCAAAGGTGAGGGCCTGTCTGACAGCACGCTACAGTTAATCGAGTCATTTGTTCCTTACCACCGATAATGAAACAAAACGGACACCAGCTAACGTTTAGCTTAGCGCCACTGATGAAATGTCACAGCTAATGGCAAGCTAACATGCTAGCTAACAGCTAACAGAGTCGAGCCGCCGTTGAACAGCAGCTGAACTATTCCGTTATAATATCTCGCAAAGCTAACTAACGTTAGCCGCGGAGGTGTTTAACATTCAACGACAGCTAATGGTGCCAATTCTAAACGTGCAAAACGGTGTCTCGTTTCCTTACAAGCTAACGGTTCGTTAACTGCTAGCGTTACTTGTGCAACGAATTTGTTTGGCAAAACAACAGTGACGTGAAGTTTCGAGCAGGAAATGTTAACGGAACCGAGGCTAGGCTAAGGTTAATGCTAATTCATGGGCTTTAAATGTTATCCGAAGCTCGGTGGTCAGCTGAGCTAAATAGGTGGTTCACAGACGTCAACGTTAAAGTCTTCATTATTTAGTGGCGACGAGGGAGCTCGTAAATTATTATTATTTTTTTGCAAAGCACCAAGTGGAAGACGAAGCAGTGAAGGTAATTGAAGCTCACCTCAAAAACACAGGGCGTTACCAAGTCTGCCATTAAAGTTATCTGTCCCTGCTGTGACATTTATTCAAATCATGTGGTCGTGTTGTGGTTAGTAATGTAGGATGTTGAGGCTCGTTAATTTTCAGGCCCTGCCGTCGGTTGCAACAGCTTTTTTAGAAATGTTTTATTTAATTTATAGCCCTGCAATAAATTATGCCATCATAAATGTTATAATGTTCATTTTAAGTGGTTTTAGAGAAGTGTCGCTTTAACTTTACGGTAATTATGGAGGCTGGAGTTTGTGGTGATGTTGAAATGTGTTGCCCGTACTCACATACATGTGCTAATTTTGGCAGAACAATTGCAAAGCACTATATTTGCAGCATGCAAAACACATTACAGAGATGAACATATTGAAGGGGTGTTTGTTAGGCGAACTAGATTGATTTTAAGCAGGTTAGCCTTATAATTAGCAACTAAATGTATCAGGTAACACTTGCAGCTTGTTGCATAGCAATGTGACTATATTTCGTTTAGCACTGAACCACATCACTATATAAAATCATTATTGTGTTTATTATACTTTGTTGCCCTCTGAAGACTTTATTCTTATAAACTATTTTTCTAAACATTTGGATTTTACAAAATGTCATGCTGTCTGTGGTTTGAAGGTTTTAGTGCTATGCTATGGTTAAAAATATTGTTATCTGGGCTTGTTTACTGAACCTCATTTCAGGTTGCAGGCTTGCTGAGCTATCTTTGACCACAGGTGGCGTAGCCAATGTCCATGGATCCGTATCACTAACAGGCAGTCACTCAAACTGTACCATCTCATGTCATAAACCCTAAACTGCCTTTCTGATCCACTGATACGTTTGGCTTTCACCTGATAATCAATTGGCGCTTAAGAATATCTAAATAAAAATGAAAGAGTCATGCAATTTACATGACTCAGCACCATGCTTTTGGATTTGTTGATGCTACTTAATAATAAATGGTCTGAGTGTCTGGTTAAGTGTTAAAGAGCATCTTGCTTGCCCAGACGCTTAGCTCACAGTGCGGCTGTTTGCTCCTTGGTAGTGTCATGTTCATGTAACAGAGTTCATAGTCCCAAAGATAGGCACTGTGACTTTGATACCAAGTTCAGGAAGCAGCATGGTGGCAAGTTTTAGTATTTACACACAGTCACGTGTTGCGTATCAACAAATCAGACATGCTATCACGCCACCCTACCAAGCCTTGTTGTTGAACAAATTGAGAAGGTGCAGGCCCTTTAAAAGACTGTGCTGTGAGGTGCAGACTTCATGTCCTGTCTTGTCATTGGGCGGGGAATAACGGCTGCATTTATAAGAAAGTTAACTTCCCCGTGTTGCCATTTTACTGTGCAATAACATATTTTGATTTCTCATCTTGATTTCACAAGGTTCAAGGCAATCCGTGATGGACTCCAGGTCACGCAGACTTCCTTTTTGTCTGTCCAGCTCAAGGTCGTCCTACACATCCAGTCCAGCAGTCTCCTCCTCATCACTGGGCTCCAGTAGGTTGTACAGTAGGGAGACTGTTCTGAATAATGACCGCTTTCCAAGGGCATCGTCACCTTACAAAGCTGAACTCGACAAACAGGTAGGATGATGGTACAGCCTTCAGGCACACTGGCACAGAAATGGCTTAAGACTAGGAAACAGCATTGCTATTTTACACAATAAAGCTCACCTTCTTCTGTGAATCTGCTTACTGTATAATACAAATTAACTTCACTGCTCCCTGGGTTTACTGTACCAATTTTAATGTCTTTTACATAGTGTTTCTAGTTTCACTTTAGATTCATGCTTGTTTAGTTTCATGCATGTTTGTTTTTGGGTGGTTGTTTTCTCCAAGCTGTAATTGCAGATGAGCATTAGCGTCCACTAATTCAGCCTGGATTTACAAAGTTTATACAGATTTACAGTGTCACAGCCATGAAAGTGTAGGTTTCTGCACCACAGTTGCACTTAATCTGTGTCCCTATCCTGCTTGGAGGGGCCTTAGTAATCTGCCTTTCTCGTGTATTCCAGAGAGAGGACATTCACATAAGCCCTTTTCTTACAGGTTCCCTTTGGAGCCCGATACAGTAGCTGACTACTGCAGACACTTTGGAGGTCTTTTTATAGGACAGCCTAGATTCCTTGGCACATGTTATGTGTATTTCAGTCCTGCAGCTCGTCAAAGCCCATCTCCAATGATAGTGTTACTATTGGCCTGGGTCTGGTCTGGTTGTTCCTGTTTTTTCCAGAAGAGTGCAAGCTAGGGGCTTGGACCCATCAAACAACCTTCTATTATTTATTTATTATTTATGTATTAAAATGGGCCCCCAGTTTGAGGTGTCCTTTGAAAATTGTAGACAAATCCGTTTTTCTTCTAACCTATGAACACTTACCAAATACCCAGCTGCTTATGTTTAGAGGAACAAAAGGGTGTGTGCAGCAATGTTTTGACATCAGTTAGTGTTCTACAGTTACAGACCGTTATAAAAAGTACACACATTCACATGTTTGGTTTCTTGCACAACATGCCAACCTGCTGAATGCGTGTCTTTTCTTATAAAATATTTCCAATAATAATCTATTTAAAAACCTGTTCACATCTATAATGGGATCAGCCTACAGTTTTCTTCTTTTTCTTTGTATTGCTGTTGTTTTTTTGGCAAACTACAGCCACCAAGTGTAAAATGGTTTGCAAGAATATGTATTTCATCACCTTCATGTTTGTATCCATGCTGCTAGAGCAAGGAATGCAATGCTCATGTATAGGCATTAACTAATGGCAAATGCTTTACCTTTTCTCTTTTTAAAGAATTCCCGTCTCCTGAGTTCATCAAGGGACTACAGCAGCTCTGACAGTCGCTCCACCAGCTGGAAATTACCCTCCTTGACACCCTCCAGCAGATCTTATGACCGCCCGTGGGCAGAATCCTCGCTCAGCAGCAGGAGCAAACTGGTACTGAAGCTGTTCTGTCATTAGTTTACAGCAGGCAAAATAAGGCCTGATTAAATGTATTTTCTGAATCATTAAAGGGAGAGGTTCGAGGAATATTGCTGAATGATGTAACTGAAGTATGAATTTATTTTTTGATATCTGCCTTCATTTTCCCAGACTGATTCTGAGGGGAGGTTGGGGATGCGCTCAGGTCTGTTGAACGCCAGTGATGATGGCGATTCTAAAAGGGCCAAACTGTCATACAGCAACAGAGGACTATACTCAAGAATGGCCAGCACCTCAGTTACAGGATCCACCTATTCCAGTAATGGACTTAGCAGCGGCAGAGGTACATAATACAAGATTTGTCAAGGTCATGATGAAAAACTGTTGCCCAAAGAGACATGTACCCCTTTTTTTTTCTTGCCTGTATGCTGTTGTTCTGATGTGGGAGGATGATGTGAAGGTATGACAAACTACTTCACACTGCATACAGTTTTTCCAGAGCACACCCCCACCGCCGAGCTTGAGCTGAACATTGTATTTCCCCATTTCAGTTGAGTCACCTGCTGCAAGGGGATCCAGAGAGATTGCTGCTCGCTTTTTCACTCATTTTCATTTTTCACTCATTAGCAGTAGAAGCTAATGCTTGTAATGTGTAATGCCAGAGAATACACAGAAAATACTGGCTATTAAGTAGTCTGTCATCTGAGGTTACTGGTGTTATTTGACTTTCAGTGCAGTTAGTATCAGCAGAGGAACTATACTGCATAAGAAATGTCTCTGCTCTTGTTAACAGAGTTGTCCTGACAACAAATCCGTGATAACATCAGTGCTTCGTTAACATTTACTTTGGTAAAACATCACAAGTGCTCTGTCTTTCTTTTTAGGGCAAAAATGGTCACTCAATAAACTTCAAGTGTAGAAGTTGCTTAAATTTTATCATCAGTACCTACGTATTTGTAGACAAGATCAGCTATTTGAAATTATATTACTGAGTTTGCAATTTTATAGAATATGTATCTATTCAGTTATTATTACACTGCACCATCTATGGGAAAAAATCACCTTCCAGGAAACTTGTAAAGCTCCATCCAGTTAAAAATAACTTTGTATAAACAGGGAGTCAGTGCAGCATCACGGGTTGCAATTTATTTTTAAGAGGTTTAAGAAATCCTTTGAAAATGTAGATTTGACTTAATTCTGTTCAGAGTACATATATGGAGAGATGTGCGTGTTCGCATTTAGTATTATTCCTAATATTTGGTCATCCAGTCTAATGTTCAGACAACTATTGGCAAGTTATAGTATATTGTTCATTTTAGTCGAATACAGTTATATTTTTTTTTTACCATAGACACTAACAGAAATGTCTGAACCCATAAGTAATTTGTTATCAAAAACCCGAAAAACTGAGTGTATTTCCAATTTCTTTGCTTTACGCACTAATGTAATGGCAAACTTAACTGAGATCTAGTCATGTCAAAATCTGTAATTTCACATTAATATTAAACAGGTTTGACTAATGAAAGCCGCAAACCTGTAAACAGTTGGCCCGTTCTTTTTCCCAACAGGTACAGATGAAAAACGCAATGACTTGCTCGACTCATCGTGGAGCTCATGCCGTTTACTGTCACGGTCATCATCTTCCTCCTCAAAGCCGCTGTTGTCCAGGAGAGAGCAGGAGACGAACACTGAGCCCAGTCTCTCAGGTTTGGGAGAAAGAAGAGTCAGGACTCCTGGATTGGTTTCCTCATTGTGTAGGCATACTTTGTGATATTTAACACATTAAACACATAGAATACAATCTGTTGAAATAAATCGCACCACCCAGACAGTTTTACAAACTGCTCTTTTTCCCCCTCTTTTCAGGTCAGACAGACAGGGTGACCTCCACTTATGCACAGGGCGCTCGCCCTAAAGAAACGACCTACTCTCCCTCCTACTCCTCTTCATCCTCCTTCTCCTCCGCTACTAGAGAAAGCTCCCTAAATCGTCACCTCTCATCACCCACCACCCACCGGACATCTCCTCTGGTGCGTGATTATAGCAGTAGGACCACAAGCCGTTTCTTGAACGGCTCGTCCACCCTCCACTCATCTCAGGAACAAACCAGAAACCCCGATTCCTCCTCAGATATCTCCTCCTCTTACTCCACTCACACCCCCTGGTACACCACTCCCCTGAAAAGGCCTGATGCCACACTCCCTCCAAGGCCTGCTCCTGAAGGTGGGGAGTCAGAGGGCCGGCGCTCTACACGTCGCCTTTTGTCCCGTCTCTTTTCACGGCGCTCCAGCCAAGACTCCAGTGGTTCTTCCAGTGTTCGCTCCCTAGACGATGAAAGCCCATCAACTGGTGGAGAGTCTGTGGACAGTGACGAGGGAGCCAGGATGTCTGCTGTGGACCCTGACACTGTAGCGTCGGAGACAACTCTGGGTAGCCACAGGAATCATCGAGCAGACCTCACCCCTATACAGGAAAACAACAGCGATGGCTACCATAGTGGTTTGCCTAGACAAGCCAGAATGGCATCATGGAGGGAGCCTGGTGTTAGCAGTAGTAACAGCAACAGCAGTGGAGGAGGCAGCAGCTCCTCCTGGCTTTCTTCCTCCCTCCGGGGCCGCTGTCCTCCACTCCTCTCTCGCCTCAGGAGACATGCTAGGGATGAGAGCACACACTCAGCTGCAGGCTTAGAAGAAGGCTACAGCCGTCCACAGCATTTACTGAGACGGTGGGATAATCTTGAGCATAAAGCATCACAGGATGATGACGATGACGACGATGACGATGATGAGGAAGAGGATGAGGAGGAGGAGGATGAAGAGGAAGAAGAAGAAGGAGCAGTTGGTTTAGAGGCTTTTGGTGCAGGTCGTGCTTGCAGACTTGAGGATGAAACGTTAACTGACCTGGAAGATGCCTCGATAGAATTTTCGCCACGTCGCAGAGTCGGAGTGTATGAAAACATTTCGGTTTCTAGGGGTCCATTGGGAGGCGTCGAGAGTCAGCTGGATTGCCAGAAGGAAAAGACCATTTCCAGTAGGGATCAAGAGAAGCTACGCAAGATCAAAGAGAGGTAATGCAGTTTGATCTCTCACACAAAATGCATTTCTTTCCTCTTGTCCTGTGCTTGATTGCTATCCCAATTTATTTTGTCTTGTATGTATTTTTCTCATCAGTTTCTGTCATAGGAAGACTGCTAATTCTGTCTCTTGCTTTGCATTTTATCAAAAGATGTTTTAAGTTGGACATGATAAATAATCCAGCTGCTGAGTAAACGTTTTAATATGTGGAACAAGAGGCATAAAATACAAAAGAGACCTGTAGGAAGAGTGGAACTAAACATGCTGCTTTCCTGCTATAGACTGCTGTTGGAGGATTCGGATGAGGAAGAAGGGGACCTGTGCCGAATCTGCCAGATGGGAGAGGAATCTTCCTCCAACCCCCTGATTCAGCCGTGCCGCTGTACAGGCAGTCTGCAGTACGTCCACCAAGACTGCATCAAGCGGTGGCTTCACTCCAAAATTGGCTCAGGTAAACATAGGCCTCTCATATGGCTGCAGTTTTTACCCAGTACCATGTCTAATCAACAAAGTCCCCCATTTTCTTTTACTCTCTTCTTTTGTTTCTTTCAGGCACAAACCTTGAGGCAATCACAACATGTGAACTCTGTAAGGAGAAGCTGCGCTTGAACATAGACAACTTTGACATTCAGGAGTTATACAGGACACATGTGCAGGTGAGTCATTTCACCTCCTTTAGAGCGATTTCAAAATTTATATTTCCCAAAGCACTTATTTAAATGTAAATGTTAATGAACTTGCATTTAATTTTGCCGAGTCATTTAAGTATGGGGATTTTAAAAATAACATAATTAAGGTGTTGTCTGAGTGGTTTAATTTAATGAATTAAAAGCATGTTGTAGTTGTATATGTGCAGATGAGTGGGGAAAAAAATGATAAATGTAAATATTCAAGTGAAACAAAATGAGTTTTCTTGTTCCACAGTCAGAATATGATGAGTTCATCAGCAGCGGCCTGTACCTGGTGGTTTTGCTGCATTTTTGTGAGCAAAGGTTCTCCGATGTCCTTGGAGCAGTCGATGCAGCTGGGGTGAGAAAACGCACACATTCAGACACATGGTGTCAATTCATTAACCATAACATTGACTGAAGAAGACACATTTATTTACATTGTTGTCATTTTATATTGCAGTATACAGCACTTCCTATTTTTCTAGTCAGTGGATTCTCATGTATGCACAGACGCACACGAACTTACACAACTTAAAATTGTTTGAAGTGTTGAATTGTGGTAGACTTTACATCTTGAAAAGAGGCAAATCTCCCCTTTCTCACCCAGTTATTCAACCTGGTGAGAATTCTTCATGAACACATGGACAATCTTGAAAGTATGTTGCACAATCCTTCTTTATTCCCTCTTAATGAAAACAAGCTGTCACCTGTAGTAATTTTGTTTAAAGGTCCCATATGGTAAAAAATCATTTTTATTGTATTTTGTATGTTTCATAAACTTGGCAGTATAAAGTAAAAGCTGTGAAAATAAGAAGATGCTTACTATTGCTATTCCACAAGCCTTCCAACTTTACAGTCCAGCAGGAATTGTATCCTGTTTCATAGAAACTGGAGAAACAATAATTGTAAGCTAAAAATTAGCATAATCCTGCCCCCTCTCATCCTGACGCTTCTGACGTGAGCTATTCTGAATGAGCAGCTGCCTTTGCAGTTCACCAAGTTTATTTATTCATAGAGCAGCTTCTGCTAACTCTATAATGTCTCACCCACAAGCAAAGCACGCCAAAAAATCCTGTGGTGGGCTGCAAGAGCAAGCACACACTTTTTTTGGTAATGTCCCCACAACAATAGGAAAGTCTGAAGTGTTGGCATGTTCCGCAGCTAATTGTGGCTAACATTAACATTCAGTTTGATTATATGCTCACAGGTCAGACCTAGGTGGAAACTGTAATGCTGAGTGACAACAAGAAAGCTGAAAATCTTTTAAGACCAATATGAAACAAATATACAAGGCCATGTGGGTTAATGTGTTAGTCTGTGTCAGCCCTTTACACTTGTTTGTTTTTCTCCTACTCTCTGTGCACAAATAGACTGTTACAGTGCAGCCAAAATCCAGAAAAAGCTATTCTCATTTTAATATTTTTCTCTTTCTGTTGTGAGACAATAAAACAAGTATAAAATTGTTACTGAAATGCAGCAAATTATGACTACATGCCAACCAGCAGTCACATCAGAGCCATTTCCAAGCTGCTGCATTGCACCTCGAATATACAGATTATTATTATTGTTGTTATTTTATAACTGCAGTGCCCTCTAGCAAACTCCCATGAGTTAAAGACATCAGCTGTGAAGTTAGGTACATTGACAATGTAAAATGGTCTCTGAGAGAAAGCTAAAAGCGACACAATGTTTTGGTCTGTGTTTGGTGCCGTGTGGTCAACTGTACTGCTTCAGTCTGTCAACCACTGAAGAGAGCAGATGCAGAGAGTTTTCTTCCTGAAGTTAGAGTGAACAGCATCAGCCTCACACCATTTATGCCTACAGACACTGAAACAGCATGTTTAGAAAAGGAACATGAACCATTAGTGTGATGTTTTAAAAAATGAAGACACATTCTGGGGACATGAGATTTGAATTTCTTTGCAAAAAATAGAACAATATGGGACCTTTAAAGCTACCAGCTTTTCTATGCATTTCTGTAAACTCGAGCTCAGTCGCATATTTTTATCATAGCATTTATTATGTGGCTACGCAATTTGACTTAATGTCTCTGGATTGCAGTTCCCAATGGGGAAAGTGACGAGGAGGTGCAAGACAGCAGACCGTCTATTGAGTTTTCGGACCTGGACGACGATCTCGAAGATGGGTATTAAATATGTGAAAATGGTGCAATGGGGGTTTAAAAAAAAAAAGAGAGAAAAAAGTGGGTCAGATGATTTGAAGTCGCAGGGCTACTCCATGCCATATGGTAGCTCACCCAGTTTTCGCACATGCTTTGACATTGTCATGTTCATCTGAAATGCAACGGCAGTAAGAAATGCCAAGTGCACAGAACATGTCTCGCCTTTGTTGCAGGTGGCTTTTGCAGATATGCAAACTTGGAATGAACTAGTGCGTAAAATATTTTGGTTAATACCACTGTATTTCTGTTTCTCTGAGAGTGCACTTTATTCAATTATATGTTTAAATTAAAAAAAAAAAATGCAAGTGTTTTTAACTGTAATACCACAAGTGCTTTAATGTTTAAAGAAAAGGCAGAAATGGATTCAGACAACATTGATGAATGAGTTGTACTCATGCTGGGATGGCAAGACGAAGCTTTTGGAAGAGAACACAAAAGTGGTGATTATTCCTTTTGTCTGTTTTCCTCTGAATGTTCCCACTGAGAATATGTTTAAAAAAACATGTCTTCATTCTTTCATAAATGCTTTATGTATGTCCAAATCTAGTTTCATGCTTTTAATTTTGGGAATAAAGATGAATTGCAAACTGCCTTTTCTGTTTAAATCTTCCTTACTATTGTTATATTACCATCTTGTGATTTTGCAGGCAAAGTATCGTTAAAAAGGTGCTTCTTGTTACAATCTAGCTGACGTTGGATGTGACCATAATTTTCTGATGGGACTCACAGATGGTCAAATATCTTTGCTCCCTTCTTCCAACTTGAGGTACATTGTATCTTGGAGTCAGCACAGGTGATGCCATGTCTGATATTGGAGCGCCTCTAAATCAGCCTAATTCCAGACCGCATATCTTGGTTCAGCAGTTCAGAGTAAGTTAAATGCAAAGTAGCAATTCAGTCTGGCAATTTCTACTTCTGAAATATTCAGTGGGACTATTCTTAAGATGTAAGAATACAATGTAGAACTTGTATCCTAATTTTAATCATGTATAACCTTGTGAATAGTGTGCCATCTAAGGATGAATCTGGCAAACTTAGGAAAACTAATAGACTTGGACAGCAGCTGTGCTGAGTGGACCAAAACAAGGATTTACTGCTAGAAGCTGTGCATTCACATTAAAGTTATTTCAATTAAATATTCATCACCCATAAATGCCAAACAGTGCTGCATGATGTCCTTGTCAGTTCAAGTTTAATGCTGACTTTCAGTTGTCTATGAATAATTGTAAACAATACAAGTGCTATTAATATCTTTAAAATTGCTTTAATGTAACATCAACTTAACTCTGAGAAAGTTTTTATAAAGGGAAAGAAGATTAGAGTTTATAATAGCACCTCAATCACACAATAACTAGGGTAAAAAAGACTGACAATTAAAATTGGTTCAAGACATGAAATTTTATTGGAAGGATATTGTACCTGATTTGAACTGACAAATCTGTAAAAACATTTGGTTTGCATCTTGATAAGTATGGGTTAACAAGCCACACTGAGGCAGTTCCTCAAGCTGAAAAAGGAAAGCTCAGGCTTTCGACATTCAAACGACTCAGAGCATCTTTGGTTCATTCTCAGTTACAAAACAAACATCACATATTTACAAAGCATTTACAGCGAACACCAGTGCAATCTGAACGCCTTTAAAAGCTCTCCAAACCTCATTGTGCTTAAACATGGGAACTGTATCTCCACAACATATTAAAGTGCGCTCTTGCTCAGTAGTTAAGTGCATAGTAAAGTCAGATCCACACAAAATTATACAAACAGGTGTCTGACTCAGTTTGATAAGACAGCGTCCTACACTTTTACAGCTCAACGGTAGGACTGAAATTCCAGACAAAACTATTATTAGGCATTATTTCAGCTATAAATCAGTGAATAAATCTTAAAAACGAAGCCTGTCCTGCATAAAAACTCAACTTTGATCAGAGAAAATTATGTTTGAAGGCACAGTCAGTGATGTTTTCACCCATGACAAAGATTTGTACTTATTTTAAGGCATTGTCCAACTAAAATACAATGTATTTCCTTAGGCCAGAGTATAATCTCTCAATCCAGGCAGTTTTAAAGTGATTTGCAGAAGTTTGATAAATGTTCAGATATGACCCACAGTCTTTAGTTGGGTTATTGTGTTTGTAGAAAGTTATAGCAGATCTAGTTGCATTACTAGAATTTGAAGGAAAAGTTATCAAGATAGTTTGCACTCTCAGTCAAAGAAAATAGTTTGTATTGTATTTTTAGGTGGCTTGTTCTTTTAAAAGTCTCTTAAAGTGTTGGTTTTTGTTCACCACCTTAGACTAGATTGCGTATACACAGTATAAATAAAAAAAATAGGACATTTTGGAGTCACTCATGCATCAGTGCAGTTTCACTTGTTAAGGCTGAATGGGAGTTTAAGTCAGATTTTGTCAGACTGCATATTTCTACAAATCAACACAAAATTTCACATTCAACAGATAGAATAACACGGTGCTCTCACAATACCAAGAAACCCAAATTAAGAAACTGAATTGGCACCCATTCACAATTCTCAAACAATATTTACAGTTTTACACACAACTGTGGAAAGATTTCAGGCTTAAGCAGGAAAAATAAATAATTTTTAAAAAGTGTGTGTGTGTGTGTGTGTGTGTGTGTGTGTGTGTGTGTGTGGGGAGGCTGCATTCGCTCAAGCTGAGAATTCCTTAAAAGCACACGAGGCAGGCTTCAATACTCCCTGAGGCTGATTACTTAAGCGAGCTCAGTCATCTTCGGTTACAATACTGGTGGTGTCATCGAAGGTCCTCTTGTAGCGGACGGTGGAGGAGAAGGTGGACCTTTTCTTCTTGTAAATGATAAAGGCGGCGGCTAAAGTAAGAATGAGGACGATGATGATGAAGAGACCCAGCGCCACAGGTGTGCCTGCAGACTCTGAGGAGCAAATGTGAAGGTAGAACATCAGCAGACAGTCTGTTTTTGTGTTTTAAGCAAGGAAAGTTGAAGAATATTTGGGCTGAAACATGCAACTCCACTACTTCTGTCACTTAAGTTCTATATCTGTTAAGTCCAACTTCAGTGCCGTAATGAACTTCTACAGGCAAAGCTGTACATACAAAACTATATCCAGTCAATTCAATGTGAAACAGGTGGATTGCACGGAAGCTGTAGAAACATCTCATGGGAAAATAAAGCAAATCGGATTTGGGGTGTAACAGGAAAGAGTGAGTAATTTTTTTATTTAGGTTATTGAAAATTTTCAGCAATCTAAAATTAAATCAACAACACCATAAAGTCTCCGGGCAAGAAAGCAAACCAAGAGCATTTCTCCCATAATGTTGAGCTCTTGCTTTGGTGCAGTGGACACACTCACTTGTTTCAGTTTTGCAGACAACACGACTGTAGCTGGACTTGCAGCTGACCAGACTCCAAGTTCCATTATCTGCGGCCATCATGACGGCACATTGGGGCTCGGACTTCTTATTAAGCTGGTCCTCTGACTTCCAGTTAGTGAAAGCCAGAGCCGAGCCATCCAACCAGGATAGAGGCTTACCTGAGAGGATGAACAAGAAAACATTACGACGGTGAGAGGGGAAGGACTACCTCACCACAAACCTCACAAATGATGTGTTGGTGTGAGATGCTGAGGGTTACTATCTGACACAAACTTTTTCCACAATCCAAAATTTTGTTAAATTTTACAATTTTTTTGACCAACTGTGACAAAGGATTACCACGTTATAAAGGCACAATGCAAGAAAACAGTTGTCTATTTACACATCCAAGGCACATGCAGCAATGCCAGCATGTTTAAAGTCACGTTTCTGTCTGCTTAGAACTGTCAAATGCTTCCTTTGAGCTCTGTTTTTGTCTCTACCAAGTCCTGAGGGGAAATATTTGGCTGTTTAGCTGCAAAATGTTCAACTAGATTACCAGTTGGTGTTATAGAGATGTTTTGTTTTTGCTAAAAACAAGTGTGTGATGAGGCAGAAAAGGATGCTGACAATTATGGTTATGGATGAACGAGATTGAACCAAAGTGATGGGCTGCAATGTCAAAACAATGAGCTCAAAAACACAAAAATGTTCTGCAGAGCTGAGCGGGACAATTATAATTCTCTGTGGGCTTGCCATTGAATGATGCCTTTCAAATTATGCACTACACAGTTATTAGATCCTTAGCTAATACACAGTTAAGCAAAAATATTCTGACCCTAATATTGATCAATTATGATGCAGGAGAAATGGACAGGTGCAAAAATGTGGGCAAATCATAATGGCCACAGTCAGCAGTGCCGAGTACCTACCAACGGTGTTGAACATCCAAGGTCCATATAATATATGATCTATAATAAGAACTACAAAGGCTATCCCATCTGCCCCACTGCCCCAGAAAACCCGCACCCTGCTGTTTATGGGGCAGTGTAGCAGCAGAGTTGTCAGAGTACCTACGCTAACCCTTGTCTAGTGTTGAAAGTGCGTTAAATGGACACACAAGCATCAAAAATAGAACGCCAGAATTATGTCGCCTGGCTCCGAATTCCCCAGAAAGCAAATTCATTAAGCTTTGGTTGGATGTGCGGGAGCAAAAAGTCTGATCTGGAGCAACTGGGCAACTTAAAGGACTTGTGAACACACCTGATACTAGAGAGAGTTGGTGAAACAGATCTGTTGTGGCCCCGCAAGTAGGACCAACAGCATATTGGGCAGGTGGCCATAATGTTTCGGCTCATTGGTGTATAAAAATAATGATGTGCAACTTCAAGAGCAATCAGTGGAAGATCCTAATCAGGGTATACAAGGTTATTGAGAAAATTGCTTACTGAATTGAATGTTTTCAATCTTCTAATTAAGCAATTTCACTTCTAAATTAGTTAAAATAATTTGCATTTCAATTCTTAAATTTTAATAATGGCTGTGGCTGTAATATCAGATTCTGTCAGGCTAAACAGGCTTATGGTGCTACACATAGATGTTGATTTTTCATCCACTCTTGGATTATCTACATGAGTATAATCATAGTTTAAACACTTTAAATCTGCAATATGGTCATGTAATAGTATTTAAATCCCCCAAAATAACAATGGGCTTTATCTTTATCTTTACCTTGAGTATCAAGGTCTATGCCGAGCCATACTCGATTGGTGATGAGAGGGTTATCAGCCATGTACTTCGCAAGGAAGTCATTCTCCTCTTTGGAATTGATAGTCAGTAGTTTAGCATCTGCCAGGAGAGAGAGAAAAAAAAACAAAAAAACGGTAAACTACAGGTTCCACAGATGAGTTTAAATTATAAACCTTCATACATCAAACAGCATCTTACCAATCTTCTGACAGATGGTCTTGGCTTGCTCCATGCTGTAGACGCTGTAGTTGTAGAAGCTCTCATCAAAAGCGTAACAGTGATCCTGATGCTGAATCCACTTGGACACACCGTTGCTTTGAGGGCAGTGATTGTCTCCTGGGGCAGCTTGCAGTTTGGCTCCTGATTTGCCAGAATGTACCAATAGATTTAGTGGTGCTTGTTTCCTCAATTGAACCTTTTTCTGCTGACTAAACTATTCATGACTATTTATTTCACTTTCCATACTGAACACAGTGATTCTATACGGAAAACTGGTGTCTTACGTTGGGAGGTGGTGGTGATGGCGGTGGTGTAGCAGAGGGCCCCATCCACCACAGTATTGCAGCTGGTCCTTTCCCATGTTCCAGTAGGAGTTATAAAAACACAGCTGGCCTCTGGTTTGTCTGGGCTGGAACTCTTAGCTGAATCAGTGATAGTGGGGTTGTAGTCAAATTTTGTTCCATCAGACCATTCATAGGCTGAGCCTTTGACCTGCACAGACAAAGACGCTGTTAGCAGCTTAAGTGCAAAGGAGGAGAAAAGGATTATGTGGCACAACCAAGTGAAAGAAATGAAATGGTCCTTGGGATGATTTTAGTTGCACAAAAATTCTTACATCCTGGTTCGATAGGCCAATCCAGAGCTTGAATCCATCTGTCTTGGCAATGAGCTTCACATGTGCGTCGTGCTGCATGTCGTGGACGCTCGCCAGGTGGCCTCCACGCTGGTCGCACTCTTCTAGAGCCTGCTGCCAAGTCAACTTTTGGGTCACAACCTCATAAGTCAAGCTGCCGTAGTGTTTGAAGTCCGAGTATGACTTGTTGTACTCATGTTTGTTGTCTTGGGAGAGGAGAATTAACAACATCATTTCAAGCATGAAATATTTTCAGTGATGCTAACAAGACCGATGGACAGAATGATGTAAATGATGATGTCAAGTGTGACAGACCCACCATAATCCAGTTTGCAGGTCACAATGGTCTTTTGTTTGAACTCCCAGTGTAGCTTTGTGTTTGTGACGAGAATCCAGGTGCCGTCCGTGGTGAGACCAGCCATAAATGGTCCATCTACATTCGGTCGGCCTCTTGCCCAGTTAGAATATTGAACATTTGTGCCATCGTACCACTTTGTCTGGTTATCTACAGCAGAACAAAGTCGCTATTAAAACAGCCGTAACGACACAAATACACACACAAACAGTAAAGACCAATTTCAGTTGTACTATACTGTACATCTAAATCCACTGGCTGCTACATCAGCATAGTAAAATAAATTAAAACAAGATCTTGAACAGTTTGTGTAAAGTGGTGTAAAGGGATTTGAAATTTTAAAACAAGAAAACAAGGAATAGACACAACACCGTGCACACTGTCAGTCACATATACAACAACATATATAATTTAGCACTCATACCATACTCATAGAAAAAACCGGATAAAAGGCTTTAGCAGCATTTATAGTCAATTAACTCTTTGAGTAGTGATGCCAATCAGATTCTATGATCTCTCCTTTTGGGCACTAACCTGAGCTTTGGTATCAGTATAGCAAAAAATTTAAAAAAAATCTACGTCATTAAACATTTACGAAATAGAAATTTGCAAGGTACAAATAAAACACCAACCGATGTCGTCTTTGAACATTCCCAGCCACACAAACTGGGCCAAGCTTTGAAATGGTACAAGCTGGCTCTGGATAAACTCATTCTCCTCTTCATTTCGGATAGTTAGGATGTCTGCGTCCTTATCTGAAACAGAAACACACCGTAATTAATGGTGATGTTGGCCTGTTACACAGCGCTTCATAACCAATTCTCCACACGGCAGCATGTGATCGATGTAGTTCGTACGAAGGGTTTTGCAGGTTTCCTGAATTTGCCCTTGGTCCACCAGTTGCCATCTAGAGGCGACCAGCTGGAAAGTGTAGCAGTTGTTCTTGAAAGGGATCCAGTTTGGACCATTAATTTGATGGGGGCAGTTCACTGCAACATCCTCTGGTGTGGTGATGATCTCCTCTGTAATACATGAGATTACAAATAGTTTTAAATTGTTAGTATTTATAAGCATTTTAAACTTAATGCCTGCCTGATTGCAGTGGAGATGAAACTGTTAAACTTTTAGACCACAAGATTAAAAAGGAAAGGATGTAGAAGAAGAATTATTATTTTAGGCCTTGACTACATGTACACATGCAATGTTGAATATGTAGCTTTTTCTGTGTTTATTCATTTTTACAACATGAAAAAAGTAGTTTTGGTTTCTGAAAACAGCCAACTTCTTCCAGGGTTATGTTTTTAGGGACTCTTTCTGCAGTGTTGTTGTGCAGACAAAGAGAAATGAAAACATACTGGTTTCCTAATTGGGTCTTATCAGTTTATCATGCCTGATCGGTCTCACCCAGATCATGTGACTCTACAACCAAGTAACCAAACTCTGCTTCCTGTTTACACCAGCATGAGCATGCCTAGTATGCATGAATGGTCATGTGACAGCCATTTTTAGACATGAACATAATATCTAAAATGGACACAGATAGTATTATTTAAAATTACTGTTTTAAAAGGAAAATACATTTGTGTAGATGTATTATCCTAATGAGCATGAAAAGGTGTATGTTATGTCTACAAAAAAAATGAACAGAAAAAGTTCAAATAAATTCTAAAATGAATTCTGAATGGTTTAGATGTTGGGGAAAAAAAGAATGAATTAAATTGATAAAAAGTAATGATGACGAAATGTGATTTAAAAAAAATAGAACAATAATAATACTCACACACTTTTCAGTTATTTCAATTTCAATTAAATGTAAAACGTCGAATAATTTCTATCATTTTTTATCAGGTAAAATTTCTTGGATTTGCTGCACTTGCATTGTTTTTTTTTTTTTTAAACTTAAACACAGACTTGCTATTTTTTATTTTTTTTTTAATATCATTGTGATCATTTTTGGATATGCTTTTACAACAGAAAACCTAGAAGACTCTTGTGTCTCAGATGTATCAACTGTTGACCTACTAATTGACAATCTACGTCTTGCTTGTACTTTGTATTGATACCCAGCCAAATAGGGAAGCCAGTTTCTAAATTTCAACAGATTCTGCATCCTGTTACGACAGAACATCCATCCACAGGGCTGACCTGAACGCAGTGCAGTATTTCAAACATGCACTTCAAGTGTTTTGAGCTAAAACCAGCACAGTCATAGGTTCTTTTCTGACTCTCAACAAATTCTCTATGACCGTCCAGCACAAATACACCCACAGCAAAAAAATAAAATCAAAGACCTGTTATGAAATTTTTACCACCATTCCCCAGAGAACTGCCAAAAGTGCAGTTTCCCAGTTTTTTCCTGTCGGTAAAATTGTTTCATACGCATTCACTCACTGAGCGGTTTGTGGCAGATAGCTCCTCCCAGCTCCTCGTCACACTCAGTGGCTTTCCAGTAGCCGTCGGTGTCCAGGTAAACACAGGAGCCACTGGTGGTGACTTCGGAGGACCAGCGACTGAACACGGTGTGACTGTGGTCGGCCCAGCGGTAGTGCTTCCCATCCTAAGCACAAAAGAAATGAAACAAAAAAAATTGTAATTGTAGAAACAATAAATCTAAATAAAATGCCCTCTTCGGTACACTTACATCGTCGCTGAACAGGCCAATCCACATGGGTGTCTTTGCACGGCTCACACGCACAGTGAGGGTGGATTGCAGGAGAGTGTCGGCCACGCTTGCCAGGTCCATGTTGTTACTCCTACAGTGCTCTACAGCCTCAAACCAGGTGAGATTTTTGACCAGCAGCTGGACGGTGTGGTTGTTGACCTGGAAGGGCTTTGTAGAGACACTGGGCTCCTCGGCTTTATCTGAAACAAGCAATGATGTATTTGAAACATCTCATGGAAGCTGTGCTGGCATCTGTCTATGTTGCAGCGATGTCTTGTTTGCATATTTCTACTTTTTACATGATTTATCTGAGTACAAAGTAAAGAGATGACACCTCAAAAGAAGCTGAGGTTGCCATGCATTGTGTACTCCCGTCACAAATGCATGTTTTAGGGGTTTTCAGATTTAGCATCAAGGTTTATACTGACTACAACATGAATTAAAACAAGTCTCCAGTAAAACCTGAACACAGCAGATTAAGTGATTTGATTACAAGTCAGTTTTGCAGCAAAACTTGGATAATAAACATTAAGTGTTGCAGTGTTGTGGAAATTTACCTGCATAATGTTGGCAGATGGCTGTATTCTGAAATTGCGTACAGGAAGAGTAGTCCCAGGTACCCAGCATGTCAGAGCTCGGGTTATTGATCATGTACGCACACAAATCCATACTCTCTTGATCCCATTTCTATCAACAACCAAAAAAAAGTACAAAAAAATTCAAAGCAAGAAAGAAAATGTGAATTGAAGCAATATAAGTTTTATGCCCATTTGAAATATTCCTTTATTTTTAACTACCATTTTTCAGTGGGAACAATAAAGACGATACTGTGTGTATATACAGTTTGTACAATGCAAGCTGAAAAAAGATAGCAACAACACAACTCACTTCCCTGAGGTATGCAATAAAATAATACTCCACCAATTCAGCGCTTCTGTAACATTGACAGACTCTTTCTTTAAATTCCACTTAATATTCTTTCCTGTCAAATTTGGGCACAGTTGTATGTTTCAGCTGCTGGCCCCAAGTGGAGGTGAGAATCAGACTCACTTCTTTCTAAGTCCACACATACAGATTTTGTCACTCTCAGCCTTGTAGTTCAACTAAAACTGTCTCAACTGACCTCACTTGAAGCAAAATTTTGTCTTTGATGTGTAAAATCGGTGTATACAGACGATAAGCGAAGGTAGGGGGAACTTACATTGACTTTTATGGCCTTGTGCATACCCACGAGCAGAGGGTTGAAGTTGATGTAGTTAACTGGGGTCTGGTCAGCCCATACGGAGTCGCTCTCCTTCAGTTTCAGACCAATCCATATTTTTTCCATGTCTCTCATATCTGGCAGGAGGGTGTTGATGAAGTCTAAAACACACAAGCGCAACATTTAAAAAAAAAAAGTTCAGTACTGTGCCCGATTTGACACTCAAGAACTAAAATACAAACTTTGCCAGACTTAAAAAAAAGGTATTTAGGATGACAGTGTGGCACTAAAAAAAGAAAAATGGCGCTCCTCACCTTGCTCCACCTGATCTGATATGGTGACCAGGGTTCCCCTCACCGACTGGCATTCCTCACTGGCAAACTTGAATGGCACAGGCTTCTTGCTCCTCATCAATGTGTAACACTGGAGAAAGTAGACAGCAGCATTGTAATCACTTTCACAAGTTTGTTCATCTATCAGATGATAAGGACCTGAGCGCATATTTTGTCCTGTTGTAATTATTTGCACGAAAATGCCAATGTAATAGAGATAATGTGTCTTTAAAGATTACATATTGGGGCATGTACTTAATCTTCCCTTGCTTCCAAAGTCACTTGGGCAGTAAATAAATGTTGGTAAAAAAATCTAATCAAATTTGTTCATATAGCACATTTAAAACAACTGGAGTTAACCAAAGTGCTGCACATGTTAATCAGACAGCAACAAAATGATGTGCAAAACATCAAAACTAGTAAAATAAGTTTTAAAAACAAAATAAAAGACTAAAACAGACAAAACAGGATAACAACTTGTGAGATCAACATCAGAAAAAATACATATGAACTAAATATGAAAAACTAAGACCATAAGGAGCAGCCAAAAGCCACTGAAAACATGTATACTTTGAGGTTTTTCTTGAAAATATCAGAGGAGGAGGATCATTTCATAGAAAGAGGACAGCTGTTTCAAAGCTTTAAAAAAAGAAGCCTCAGCTTTTCATTTCTGCTGGGTTAATACAGAAAATAACATTTAAATCCCTTCTATTAAACTCAGCTGCAGTAGCTGCTGTAGATACCTCATATATCTCATATAATCAAAATATCTTGAGACAATCTGTGTTTCTGGGAAGTGCACTTCTTTGACAATATAAGTGTTTCTGTGTGGACTTTTCCCTTAAGTATAAAAATATCACCATCATCATTCCTAATCTTTACTCTCCCTCAATTTTAAAAGCAACTCTACTTAGCGAGAAAGAGAAAAAAGACCACACGAATAGGAGGTAATTGGTTTAAAAGTGTCATATAATATTAGTAAGAAAGTGTTGGACCTTATTTCTGAAGGACAGAGAATTATTTCCGCAGGGATATCCTCCAGGCTGAGGATCCTGAGGGTTTATCTCCACTGACGTGATGTTCTGTCTTTCACACACAAAGGAAAATCGCTGCCGGCAACTGCGATCATGCTCTGCAAGTTAAAATATGATAGAAAATGTGTGTATTAGAAGAGACTGCAGGCAGGCCAGTCATGATTCAAACGAAGCAATGTGTTTTAGAGCATTCTGAAAAGATCAGAGTCAGATCAGTTCTCCATAATTTCTCTGATAAAAATTTCCTTTTTTTTTTTTTTGTCATTTTCTCCTATTTGAGAGGCTTTCTAACTAGAGAGGTGCTTAAACAAACACCTTTAAAGCTTTAAAGCCCCCAAAACTTGGTTTGAAGTTCTTCTGCATGTGCTTGCTCATAAGAAAGCCACAGACTCTTCGGATTTGTTGGGTTTCTCTGTTGAAAATTTGTAAGTTCTTCACCCTACTATGTAAAGTGCTATGAGAATGTTGTGAATTGGTGCTACATAAATAAAACTGAATTGAATTCAGAGTCATAATTTGGAAAAATACCGTCAGCTATCTTTGTCCAGTCTAGAACACAACAAAACATAAGCAAAGCCACAACTGTCTTCAGATTTTGATGTTAAACTCTGATTGAAATACGACTACACACACTTCAAACCAGTAATATGAGCAGGAGTTTTCTTTACTTATATTTGATTAATTTATTGATCTGAATGATTAGACCTGCACGTATTTTTCTGGGCTGTTCAGTTGCTAAACTAGACATTTACTCAAATTTTAAAAAGATTAAAATAGTTTGACTGCTCTTAATATGTATAGTATTAAGCAGATAAGTGAGTATGCTCAGCTTCTAATCCATCTATTGGCTTCATACAACATGCAGTAAACAGAAATGACATAAATCAAGCTCTGGTGTGACAAGTCTTTCTTTTAGACAATACTGACTCTCCTCGGCATACTTAGATGTCCGATCACAAATGCACCCATTTTTTTTCTCATACACAGGGTTGGTTTTCTTTTACGAACCAAGTTTTACTGATTTAGAAAGTGGGCTCTGTAATAACATGAGAGTGAATATAAAACCATCCCGCATCCTTCTCATGTTTACTTACCTGGAAAGGGACTGTCAGGGCTGATGTAGGTGCATCTATCCAGGAAAAACGAGTGATAAAAGTACATCTGGGTGTACCTGCAACAAGCAGCATCTCATTTTAGCACATATAAGCATCGGAAAGATCAGTTTGATTATTTTTGTATTACATGAATGGTGTATGTGTGGGACTGCGCTGGCTTACGTCATGGGGAACACCCGTCCAGGCTGCCTCAGATCGATCCACCAGTTTTGCTTGGAAGAACTCGACAACTGTTAAAGTACCACATAATTATTATTGATTCTCAAATAATTAAATCATAATCACATGATCAAGATGGCCTCAAGATCTGAGTTGGCCTACATTTCGAGATTTCATAAAATTAAAGTTGATGGCAAGTTTTTAATGAACTGTGTAATAAGTGCTTCTAAGATTTTACGACACTCATGGTTTCATTTACTCGTGGTCGGCTTGGGAAGCTGAATTTTCCTCCTACTTGACGGTGTTTATTCTGCAGCGTTATGCAGCATGTTCTCTACTCTGCTGTTTAACTGCTTCCAGCTGGATTCTCATGAATAAGTGCCAGACTTGCATGACCTGAAAATAGTGGAAAGAATTTTCCCGGTCTTAAGACTCTAAAAAAAAATCAACTACAGATACCAGCGGACAGAAAAAAATGTAAACAAGATAAAAAAAACCAAAAAGACAAGGGATTTTCATTTATTTAAGCTTTTACCCCTTTTCATTCTTACTTGCTCATTTTTATTCACTTTAAGTGCTCCAGCTGCCTCAATATACAGTTTTATTTAATTTACTGTTTGTTAAAGCTCTGCTCCCAAATAGCGATTGTTCAGTAGCTTTGCAACTTTATCTGTAAGGATATGTTATGACTTTACCATGTCAGCCTGACCAATCTGACCTCAGTCCTTTAGGACAATATTATCTACGTGATGTGCTTGAGTAGCACTAGTTTATGGTACATACAGCTCATTAGCTGCTAAAATCTGATAATCACAGTCATCATTTCTGCTGAACAAGAAAATAAGAAGGCTTTTGTTTGCCTCTGTCCATATCAAAAATGACGTCACACCAAATATTGTGAATTCTGAGTTGTATATCTGCTGCTGTTATCGCTGTCACTTGGACTCAACGCTCTGTGAGTCCATCATTACATGGCCATTTGCAGTTCCCCGTCACTTACACTTTGCAGTTGCTGTTGAATCTTTCCAGCAGCAATGGAGCTCAGAGGAGAAGCCAGTTTGCTGCCATTTGCTTTGCAAAAGAGCGATGCCTCCTCAAAACTTAGCTTTGGCTCTGGAACAAACCAAAACTCTGCTCCGTCTACGAAGACAGATGTCTCATGGTGACCCCCTGAAAAGCACAACAAACAGCTCTAAAGTCACGCACAATTGCAAAGATTCAAGTGGTAGATCATCTGAGAAACAGAAATGTTGAATCGGGCCACTGACAGATTCAAAACATGTTACACAGATGGTGAAAAGCTGTGGTCATTACCTGGATTGTACCACTCTGGGGTTTTTGGAGTCTTTCCTGTTGAAGCATCAAGAAAGAATCGGTTAGAATCAGTATATTACCAATAAAACATGTTGTGTCCCAGTTTGACTGATGCATAAGTACAACTATTTAGCTCCTGTGTGGCTACAAAATTCAAGCTAAATGACAAAACATTTTAATTTAACAGTCATAATGAGGGATGTTAACACTTCACAAACCAAAGCCAGCTTTTGTTTTGTGCACACACATACACTCCATAATATGGCTATAGGTGTAATCTTACCACGGGGGATTTGGCAGACAAACTCAAGCTTGGCGTCACAGTGAAACGGCGTGGCAAAGAAAGGGACGTGAGGTAAGTCGTGGAGCAGAAACACGACCAGATGCTTCAAGGTGCTCCTGGACGTCTGAAGAAGACGCAGATTGTTTGCACAAGTTTTATCAATAATTGAATACACAAAGGAAGCGGTTTTGTATCTGGGTTGTTACATATCTTGTTGCATCCCACAGTTTTGTGATAGTTTGGAAAGAAAGGATCATTCTGTCTGTCGGTCTGATAATACAATTGCTTACTTAGACGTCTAAGAGTCTGACCCGTAAGATAAATGGAGGACAACAACACAAGAAGAGAATCAGCTAGCATCCATTCTGTGAGTAATACAGGAGCCACATAAACAGTAATTATGGGAAAGATGAAAAAACAACAATCAGGTGGCGCCGCCTGTGTTTTATGAGATTTTGCTTCAAGACAGTATGAAATCACTGAGCCAGTGGGGGCGGATGTCAGCTGTAGCTCTTCCCCCTACTCCTGCAAACAGCAGAGCTAGATACGCTGAGTGAAATACATAACAGGGTATGAGATTGGAGAGAAAAGGCACAGGTCTCCATTCAGTACTATGAAACTACTGAGCTCACCTTAAAAGCAGTGCAGTCCCGACTGTATGCATCATCCTCGTAAAAATCTTGGTGTAAAATGCCCACGGATACCTGTTGCAGAGACATCGCTTAATGTCAGACGCTCACACATAAATACAATATAGTGCAATAAGTCTGTCTAAACCAAATAAAGGTGCACTTTCAGTTGCAGGGTTATACAAAAATGACGCATTCATATATATATATATATATATATATATCTATATACTCTACCTAACGTATTTGAAAGGGTTGTACTCACAGGCCGCCCGTCGCTCCACTGCCAGGAGCGATCAGCTGGGTTCCTCCTGTTCAGACCTACCCAGATGTATCGATTATCACTGCAACAAGAAGAGCACAATGCCATCACTCACCTAGCCAAGCTTCTTTCAAAGTAAAATATAATAAAAAAAAAAATCTTCTTAAAAAAATCCTTAAAGGAATTTTGATATTTTATTTTGCCACTAAATCTGGCTCTTTTACTTCCTCATCAAGTGTGAACTGTGATTCAGGAGATGCATTGTGTTTATTTTAATGTTTAGTTGAAGTGTTGCATGTTTACGTGAGCAGAGATGACAAAGACAAAGTTGCATGTTGAGAAATCCTCTCTTTGTTAAAGCAACTGGTCATGCCAGTCTGGTAGGGGATGATTACAACCAACTCCCATCCACACTCTTTTGTGTTAGGTGTGTAAACAGATTAAGCAACAATGAATTCTGAGTAGTTCATGTCAGAATTCTGCTCATAATACTTCAAATACCTGACAGTTTCTCTCATGACGCTGTGCAGAGCTCTCATCTCGTCGTTATTTGTGAAGCTGGGCAGGTTGGCTCCCAGCGCTTGACAGAACCGCTCAGCTTCCTCCCAGGACCGTTTCCTGCTCAGCCGTTCTTCGTGAAACACCTGACAAGGTGAAACAGTACTTTACAACAGCTGCTAAAACTGTACCAGTGAAGCAACAGAACGGACTGTAAAGTAAGCTGTAAGATAATGTCATTCCGAATCAGTCAGTAAAATCAGAAAACCACCAGAATAAATCACGTATTGATTTGTATGTTGCAGAAGCAGCTTCAGATACCTTTGCTGAACAACAATGGCTCTCAAAGATGGGAAAAGTTTTCAAAGACACACCTTGTAGCAGTATCTGATGTTTTGTCTGGACACCCATCCGTCAGGACAGGTTGCATTAGGGTTCGGTTCTGGTTCTGGGGCTGGAGGCGGAGCAAGGTCTTTTCTACAAATGGTGCCAGCTTTGAAAAGGGTGCAGTTCTTCACCTCCCACTTGCCGAACGGTTTCCCAGTGGAAATCACAACACAACCTCCCTCCCGATCTAAAGTACGCACGTAGACAAAACATAAACAAATGAACTTTATAGTGTGAATTTTTAATGTCATTTTTAATCAAAGTGTTTCAGATGAAACATCAACAGTTTTGAACATTTTAAGTATGAAAATGTGGGCCTGTAGTTCTGGTAAACAGACGTATAAACAAACCTTTTTCAAGCAGCAGCAGACATTTATAACTAAGATTTCGTTGTTCAGCATGAGCCCGTGTATAAATCAGTTTACTGAAAGCAGTTTGTTGTGGTAGCAGGATCCAGTGTGTAATATTGATGATGCAATGCTCCCAAACTGTTCTATCAAATACTGGCATGACAGAAGTGATGGAATATTAGAATTTAGGAATTTCTGGATTCTTGAAACATTATAGTATTAGTCATAATACAACATGCTTATTTCATGTTTTCCCACAAAGACATCTTTCCTAATCATGACCAAATTGTGCATGTATACATGTTTTATTAGTTGTTGTTTTTTAAGTGACACTTTTTGGTCTTTATACCCTTGTGATGAATTAGATAGATAGATAGACAGACAGACAGACAGATAGATAGATAGACTGCTTTGATAGTCGGACTAAAATAGATTTTTAAGGTTTCAGTTGTATATTCTGCTATTAGTGTTTTGCATCAGTGTTAATTTTATGACAAGGCTGTTTGCTAATGATTAACAAATTAAAGTTTATTGATACAAACTTTATGTTAGATTTTATTATTCTTGCACCTAGCAGTAAATGATACTGTTAATGTTCTACACATGAAACGATGGGCAGTAAAAAGTCTTTCTTGCATTAGTAAAACATCCAGAGTAGAAGAAACCATCATATCATTACACACTCTGAGTCCATTATGCTTCACATGCTACCACCTGCACTGGCTTCTTCATGTTTTTTCACTAACCTGGTTGGAACCAGCCCCAGTTGGTGTACGTAACCCCATCCTGGCTCATCCACTGGTACTCCCCTGTACTCTTGATGTCCTGCAGCCCTATCCAGAAATACTGAGTCTTCTTGCCAATCTGCTCTCCAAGCAGACGGCTGATAAAGGCCTGCTCGAACCTGGGAAGAGCAGTTAAGCATGAGTGACTTTTTTCCTGCTGATAAACACAAGCAGGCAAGCACAATTTGTGTGTAAGAATCGCATGCGATGAACGAGTTACCTGTTTCTTATGGTGATGTTACAGTGATCTTTGAAGAACACTTGTCCCGGGTTCACTTTATAGCAGGAGTTGCCATGTCTCCTCCAACCCTGGATTATTGAAATGGTAAGATTTCAGGTACAATCAAATTACAAGCATTTCGTTTTATTGCTTAGTCGTAGTTCTGATGCATATTCAGCGTCTCTATAATGGGACTGTATGAAAGAAGAGTGACATCTGTGTTTATGTTGTTTTTTTTCACCATCTTGATCACTACTACAGTTTTATTTTTTGCATTTTCATATCTCTTTGGTTCCGGTATTCGCTGACAATGCAGCTATAGATCTGCTTTTTACCCTTTTGTGACTCAAAAGTTCTGAACCTTATGGCAAGTAACCTTTAAGGTACATGGTTTCTGCATTCTTTAACATGATTTTTATGATTAATGCTGCACATGAAAGTCATGCACAAGACGTGTGGAAAAACGGGTGTCAATAAATAATAAATACAAATAAATAAACAACTGAACATTGAAGCTAAACGACATTATGGTCAACCCCATTGAAAAGCTAATGTGAAACACTGCAGGCCTCGCTCGGAAAATTGGGTCATACAGACAATACTTACATCTTCAAAGCGACATCCGTCCTGTGTTGCAGATTCATTGACCTCTCCTTTCTTCTGGCACATGAAAGGCAGCTTCTGCGTGCAGCCCCCAACCTTCCAACTATGAGACTGTAGAGAACAAACACAAGTTTGATTTTGCAGGCCTCAAATAAAGAGGAAAACAACTACAAAGTGCCCGAATGCAACAGGTTGTGTTACACAAACACACGCACCCTTCCAGAGTACAAGACACAGCTGGAATCCTGAGTGGGCTGGACTGGTTGGTTTTTATTCCAGTAAGTGAAGGTTACTGGCGCCTCGTCCTTCCACATGAAGACAGTGGGGTTCATGCCGACGCCATACAGACCGATCCACACGTCCAAAATCTGTCCCTCTGGTGGACCAAAACACACACGTGAACTCTAACACTCTAAGAAATAACAGACTGGGTCAAAACATGGGCCTGGTAGTGAAAAAATAATACCATCCTTGCCTTGAAACTGAGAGTTTTACCTGCATGGAAATTGGTGCTGATCATCTCTATGCTGTCAATGGAGTGGAAACTGGCTAAAAATCCCCCTCCCTCTGTGACGTTGCAGTGCTGCTCAGCATCTGTGAAGTTTCGTCGCTCGTCCTTCACCAGCTTATAACACCAGCCATTCCATGGAACCCAACCTTCCTGACACACTGTTTCTTTATATTCGAAAGGCTCTGTAGAGAGGAAGCAAGACAGCAAGAGGTCGTGAAGGGATGCCAGGTTTTATCTGAGTATCCCATAATCGCAAATTTGGTGGCTTTATAATCTATATAGCATTCAGCACCCTGTGTCCTTGGATTGTTGATTTAAGTACTAAAAGCAGCAGCCAACCAACCTGTTGTTTCAGCCCGAGAGGCATTGGCACTCTTCTTGCAGATGTACGGCAGCCGTTTGTTGCATGACTCGGATTCGTAGTTCTTTTTGGAGTTCAGGACTCCACAGTCGGACTCAATGATCATGGAGGTGAAGGGCATTCCTGTCAAACATGTTTTCACACAGAATAAATATCAATAAAGTCACATACTGACTGAGAGAGAAACACCTCTGGGCATCTTTCTAGGTTTAGCTTATCAAGCTGCGACTGGACTGAAATAAAAGAAATGCTTCATGTTCCAGTAAAGATCTGACACAGTAGCAGCACTGACATGTTGTAAAATTACAGCAGCCACAAAGCGCTCATATCAGCAGAAGGCCAGATGGCTGCAGCATCCTTGACGTCCTCACTAACACCTTCTCTTTAAGAGGAAGGGAAAAAAAACACACGCATTACAATAGCACGCAGGCCTCATAAAGCCTTCCATTCAGTACTATTAATGGGTTATTCAGCAACACTAACAATCCCAAGGCAACACTGTGTCCAATAACCAGGCACAATGAGCTTCTTTACAAACACCAGTCTCATTGTTTCTCTGTCTGACACCAACTCTGGGCTAGTAGAAGGGCAGCAACACACTGCACACCCCAACAGGATGCAGGCTTACTGTAGTTTCGCAGAACTGATGTCTGCAAAATTAAGTTGCAAAAATCGAAGTGGTTTTTCAGTTGTTTTTTTTTTTTTTTTTTTTTGTTTGTTTTTGAACCAAGCTTATTCCTCTTTCTACTGTGTATCTAACAGGGCTCTTGGCGATCTGATGTTTTACCACACCGATGTCTAACAAACGGTAGCTTCTTATTAACTGCACACTGTTAATTATATAGTAAATGATACATACAACAGTGAAGATTTTACATTTTTCACGTTTCACGATTATTACAGTCATAAACTGACATGCATGGCAAAACAGCGATGATTCATTCCATTTACACAGATCAGCTCTGAGAAAATGAGATTACAAAGTAAACGCAGGAGAAAAAAACTATATATATAATTACCATTTTCCCAACGCAGAACAGACAGAGGGGATCCATCCGACCACTGCCAGCCCTGAGAAGAGTCTAACTGATGCAGGCCGATCCACATCCTCTCAGGCATATGGCGAAGGCCGTCCAGTACTGCAAAATGCAACCACAGTACACAGGATAAAGTAAAGGAACTGATAAGTCGAAAGCAACAAGAATAATGAAAACACATAGATACACAATAAACTGATTGTAAAGGATGAATGCACAGTCAAAATCTGGAAGATAAAACTGTCAAGAATCTCCAGTGTGTCTGGTGCAGGACTGTTAGCCTGATAAAAAGGAACTGCTTCGTAATGCTTCATATGTTTTTTTCATCTTCACAAATCAGTCTAGTGGTTTAAGTGTCACAAATACAGAGGCTGAAGGCTCACACAGCAAACAGTGTTAATGTGAGACTGTGAGATGTTTTGGATGCGAGCCATGTGACATCCCCAAGCGAAAAAATAGTTTGGATGATAATCATAATAAACTCCACAAATGTGTGAAACAAAAGGCAGCACTGTTCCAATGTTTTTAAGGTTTCTAGAAAAGCTCCTCCGGCATACAAATCAAACGCATCTTTGAACCTTCTAGGCTGCTTAGTTGCTCTTTAAATATCTCTGATGCTTCAACCAAAGTGTTTTTTTAGTCGATTTTAAAAGTCACAAGAAGGGTTTCACTTTTGCAGCTTATGTATATGGGCAAAATTGCACACTGTGCAACAGATTTACAGCAATCACAAACAAAACTCCAGCATCTGTTTAGACTCAAAGAGGGCAAATGAGGTCATGCATTTACTTGCACAAATAGATGGTTCTGAGTTATCTGTTTTTCTCTTTCATTTCATTTGAAGAACAATAAGATGGAGAAGCCAAGTAATAAGCCGACAACAGCATAATGAAACTGACGGAGGAAAGAAGAAGTAAACAAAGTTATTGCATGGACCCATTTAGAAGTTGCCCCTGTGCGTAAATAAAATCACAATGAGACAATACAATGCGTTTTAATGACTGTTTTTTGTGTGATAAAAACAAAGTAATGCTTCTCTCAAGGTCACTGTGATGAAATAAGAAAAGTTTGATGAGGTATTTATTATTGATACCAATCAATTTCATAAAGATAACATATGATACTATTCATATCAGTAAAAATCTTGAATCACTTTTGCGTTGCATAGTATTGAAATCTGATTGGTAGGGGTCAACTACACCAATACCAATACTGATTAACAGTAATCAATGAGAGAAATAGCAGATGTTTGAAACCACGATAGACTTACAGTTAAAACAAAATCACTGGGTCAAGATTTAGATAACAAAAACTCTGATACAAATTTTTGCAAAATACCTTTGTTTAATTATGTTTTAAATATCTGTGCCTAAAAGAGAACTCTCTCTTATTTATTCTTCAGTGTTGATAGACTATTACCTGTGACATGTGATCAATCTAACTCATTGACTATACATAGAGAGAGGCACCTGCATCAGAGTCAAAGCAGCTTATGTTTAAATAACATATTTGATTAGGAATCAGCTAAAAAGTAGCCAATGTACAGATAAAGCTAAATATCAAATCTGATAATTAGTTAAATAATAATTTCTGTTGAGTTTTCTCAGGCAGAATAAATATTATTTTGTGAAGCATGGGTCAGCTCATACATTCTCATTTAAAATCATTTTTCAAATTTTAAATCCATACTTATTATTGCACTTTTTATTGCTATAAATGAGGCATTCTTGTCACATCGGAGGATCTGATTGTGTTGATGCTGAATACAAAGTGCTATGAAACTTCCAACTTTGAGGATGCTAGGTGTTTTTGCCGTCAGACAGGTGGAGAAAAATAGGGAACAAAAGAAGACGACGAAGCAGCATCAATAATAATCAGTCAGTCTTACGGGTTGTGGAGTTGAGATCGTCGGTTTCGGACAAACTGAGCAGATCAGCCCCTTGACTGCGACATGAATCCAAAGCTTCATGCCAGGTCACTGCAGCAGCGGAAACAAACTCATAGCAGAACTCCCCCTCCGGCCCAGCAAACAACGTGCTGCAACCCTTCTCTGCAAGGTCAGAGAGACGGTATGAATATTTATAGCATGGGTTTCATTTGGGTTTTTTAATGCAGCATCTACTTTATCATTATTTATTACAAAGAAAAGTGTGCATTCCATTGCCTTTAGCTCAATATTATCATGATTTTGTCCAGGAAAAATATCCAGCTGTAGAACAGAAACAAAAGTCTAATATTTTCCAAAAAGCACAACACACCAGGAGTTAGACAGTGTCCCTTCTTCCTGTCTTGGTCATAGTCTGACGTGGTGGCACACCAGGACAGTCCAGGGAAGTCTGCGTCAGGGAGGCATCCGAAATGCCAGCTGCCGTTGTATTTGAAGGGGAATTCACAGGGGCTGCCAGCAGAGTTCCCGTTGGTGGTGTGGACAACTGGAACTGAAAGAAGAAAGCAAGCAATCAACCACAGGTTTGTACACACATCAAATCACTTCGTCTTTTCAAGATACAGAACTCTGAGCACAGGTTTCTACACGGAGACAGCAACTGAAACTTACATCAGATCCTGTATGTTGTGCAAAATAGCAAACCAAAACCACTTTCATGTGGAAAATCAAGTCATGGAAGATGCAACAATGTAAGATTCACTGCTCTAAAGATAGAAAGAAACTGCAGAAAAAATAAATATGTTACTGAGAGAACATTTTGGTTCAGATCATAGACTGTATAAAAGATGGACGTAGCAACCGGCCCTGGAAAATGAAGCCAACCCGGAAGTGTCAAAAACCTGCAATATCACTACGTCCGCTAGTCCTGGCTCCAAAAAGCCCTGGCTCCCATAGAAATGAATTGGAAAAGAAGTGATCACAGATCACGAAATACCGCATTCCTACAGCTCAGGATTTTTTTAAAATTAGTTTTCATGGTCAAGTCCAGAGATCAGATGGCCAATCTGAAAGTAAATCAATACTGAATTAAAAAAAAATCATCAACATTTTGTGGGGCAAGGGGCGTGGCTGGCTTGATTGACAGTCGGCAGCGACCATACAGATGAAGCAAGCAGAAGACGCTAAATGTGGGCGGGCAGAGAGGGCCTGCCTCTCAATCCATCTGACCAATCGCTGCTATTATGCCCCCCCCCCCAACGATTTTTGGGTCACTGGCTCCAAAAATCCAAGATGTCAGCTAGGAAGCAGCACAACCCTGGCTTCATTTTCTCAGTGCAGAAACCAACGGGTGACGTCACGGTAGGTACGTCCATCTTTTATACAGTCTATGGTTCAGATAAATGCATGAAGCAGCATGTGAATGCATCTTTGTCCCTGACTAGATCATGCACATTTCTTAGTTAGACATCTGTGGGGAAAATGTGTACATGTTGATTCCAGCTTAGTTCTATTTTTGTACAATACACAATCAACAGAAGATATTTGACATACATTTTCTTGTTTTATGATTTACGCTATTATAAGTGCACAGACGACAAATTTGAGTTCTCTCTACTTCTAGTCATGGTTGTGCTGTTTCCGTAGAGGTTCAGGGTTTTATATTGCAGTAAAAAATGAGCCAACAGTAAAAATGTGTCAGATAGGCTCCAGCCTCATGCAACCCTGTATAGGATAAAGAGCCGATAACTAATGGAGGGAGGATAAACAAGAAGCATCCAGCACTCAGATTCATTTTCTGAATTCTCTGAAAATAAATCTAAAACTTACAGCCACATGTGAAGCATGGATACAGACACAACCTTTCATATTCAAGTACAATTTGCTATTGTCATTTGGTATATGAGGAATAATACCCTTCTTTTGGTGCTACTATAAGTCTATGAAATGATGTTTTAATAAATACAATACCACAATTATATGGCATCAAACATTCCCTACTCACTCTTACAGATGATTTTAAAACAGAAAGCATACGCCTATTAAATTTTAAGTAGCTGTTTTGTGAAATGTGTGCAAGAAAAGAAAGTGAAAGTCAGCTGAAACGCTTCCTCGAATATGACTGCACACTCATAAAGTGCAGACAACAGAAACTCCCTAAAAGACAAAGTTTCAAGTGTGTGGTACTCAAGTTACACAGGGAGCCTAACACCTTAACCTGGAATTTGACACAGCATGTTGTTATCTATCATAAAGGAAGCAATAACTGATAGGAATGAAGACAGCCAACTAGCCCAGTCAGGCTTTGTTTAAAATGTACCAGAACCTGTTTAGTCAAGTGACACCCGTACATACAAAGGTGTAATGTATCACAAGGCTGCAATAGCTTCACAGTCAACTGAGGAAAGCAGATCCTTTGACTAAATTTAATTTGCTACACTGAACACAAGCTGAATGTAACACCTGACCATCAGTTTCCTCCAGCATGAGTCAGAGCATGAAAGCATTTCGTCAGTCGGATAAGAGGGAGAAAGCTGTACTCACCACGATCTTGCCTGTAGCAGATGTTGTCTTGGGATCCTCCTCTCACCCACGTATCGTTAGAGTCCCGTTTGGCTGCAATTTTGCCTTCGCTGACCGCCAGGCCCATCTGATACACGGTGTAAACAGCCCTGTCCGCGCAGCGCCACCCCAACGGCAGGCTGGAGCCGCAGTCAACCAGGGACGGGGTCTTGGTGTGGACGTTCAACGCCACGCAGAGCGACGTGCCCACGTGGAAGAGCTGGTGCTCGTAACCCCACAACCACAGCTGGGACCTGCTGTTCGGGTCGCAGGTGGTGAGGGTCAAGTCTGTCGAAGAGCCTGAACTGAGGCACTTCCCCGAGCTCAAGTGCTGAATGGTGAAAGATTCATCTTCTGTGGTGATGGGACAGAAGAAGACCTCCGGTTAAGAAATGACTCATCTGGTCTAAAACGATGACCGAGTTGATGTGACCGTTTTAAGCCATAAAAGCAAAAGAACACAATATTGCTAATCAGAATTAAAACAGCACGATATTTCTTGAGCAATGGTGAACGAGATACCAAAAATCCCAGATTAAAACACTGTGATTTTTAAATTCAAAACACTCCACTGCAAGCAAAACAGCTAAAACAAACACTCCTACTAAAGATATACATATTTTAAAATAATAATTTATTTGATTTTATTCAATTGACATTTTACTGTTTGACTATAATAAAGGTATTTTGTGTAATATTTAGTATTTTTATTCTTGTCTGTATTGACTGAATTGCCTTTACAATCCTAACTAATAATCAAATATTTGCTCTTATTCCATTGTTTTGATGTGCATTAGCCTCTAAATGTCCCTCCCATTTAATGTTTGGTCAGTGGCTTGGAAAACACTTTAAACTGCATTGGGTTTGTTTGAAAAGTGAATAAATAAAAGGATAACTGATGGCTAGACTGTATTTGTCAACTAAACAAAAAGGAAAGAAATTATCCATGAACAGTTTACTAGTAGAAGCCTATCAGATGTAACCCATATGCTTGCAAAACAACTTATTTAACTCAATAAAGTAAAGGTTTCTAATTAAATTTTAACTACTTTTGAGCTGGTAAACAAACAATCAGCCACAGAATAATAAAACATTGCCCCCCAGAGAGTTTCATTCCTGAATGAGTGTAGAGAAAATAGCATACTGCTAATTAAATGAAGAATTTTGATCTTAACACATGATGAAATAGCAATAGCCTATCAGCTGTAACCCATATTTCTGGAAAACCACTTTCTAAACCCTAAAATAAAGGTTTCTATTTAAATTTGACTACTTTTGAACAATCAGCCACAGAATAATAAAATATTGTCCACTAGAGAGTTTTATTCCTGAAGAAATGATCATCCTGCTAATTTAATAAACTGCATGGAGAATTTTTCTAACTTAATTTTAGCAGTTTACTAGTAGATGTCGATCAAACATAACCCATGTTCTTGCAAAACAACTTCTTTAACTCAAAACACTAAAAGTTTCTATTTAAATGTGACTACTTTTGAGTTGGCAAATAATCAGCCACAGAATAATACAACACTGCCCCCCTGAGAGTTTTATTCCTGAAAGAGTGCAGAGAAATGACCATCCTGATGCTTTTAGAGGTACAGAAGGGACACTGTGGACTGAGGGTGGGGACTCATTAGAACTAAATGGTTCTGGGTGAATATAAAGCAAGTCCCCACGCAGGCCTTTTAAAATGGAAAACACGATCAGATTACAGCTCGTATGAACGCAGATCATACAGTGAAACACGACGGAGCTTGAGGATGAGTGTGCAGTTTGACCTGTCACAATATGGAGCTGCTGTAAATGTCCTGGGGGAAGGGAAGTATGTCCAACTAATAAAGCAGATCAACAGAAAGCTGCCGTTGTTATGTGCCTCCACTTGTTGTAGTCGAGCAGGTTTTGTTTTCCCCCCTACACACACATCCACCATCGCGCTTCTCTGGATGGAAGTTTTATACACACGATGAAGTGACGCAGAAAAACGAAAGCAAAGTGTCGCAGCTCCATGAGGCAGCTACTCACCCAAAGTGGTCCAACACATGCAGGAGCGCAGCGACAGCGTCAACAAACAAAGAGCGGCTCCGGTGAGGTTCAGCATGGTCACGAAAGGAGGCTCTCTGCTGGACTCATACAGGGTCTGCTGCCCACCGGGGAGACGGAGGCGGAGAAAAGTGGCCCAACCGTTCCCCTCAAGTGCAAAAGCGAAAGTGTCCGGACGCTTACCGACGCTAACGAACTTGTGTGAGCTGTCAGCGGTGCCACCAGAGTCCCGCTGAGATACCGAGTGTCAAGCTACCGACAACCACCTCCGGTTCAAAACTCAGCGCAGCGCCCGGACACGGTCCGCCCACCAAAGTTACAAAACACCACAAGAAGACATTGTTATGCAACGTTAAAATACAAATATACGTTTATACATGGTAAATTAAACCGTGCCCAAAATAACGAAACACCATTCTTAATTACATGACTTTTTTTAAAAATCACAATTTTAATTTGACATTTTATTTTCTTGAGTATTTCCTTTTATTTATCTATTCTTTCCAGTTAGCGTGGGGTTTTTATTATTTTGACTTGGTATCTGATAAGTATACCATATGCATATAAAATAAAATAAAATATGCACTTTTTTAATAACATATAATTTATCTATGAGAGATATATGAAGTATTTATTTTATTTTTTATTTGCATTTATTTTTTATTTCATGCTTTATTAGATATAACATGTATACACATTATTATTTATAATGTTTATACTTATTAGTTGCTTATATTTTAGTATGTAGGTTTCATTTTTGATCAAATAAAATAATATACATACTTTTTAAATAACAATTTATCTATAATATATATATATATAGTATTTATATTATATTTTTATTTTGTTGCATTTATTTTATGTTGTATTTATTTTTGTTTTATTAGAGAAAACATATATATAGGTAATATGTCATTATTATTTATTTATAATATTTATTTATTATTTATATTGCTGTGTGGGTTTTCTATTTTTGAATCTTTTTGTATAGCTTGTGTCTCACATTCATGTCTTCTCTGGATAAGAAATATTTGATAAGTGATTGCTTACTATGTTCATTTTTGCTAAGTATTTCCTTTTACTTGTTTATTTATTTATTTTTTATTTAGTGTGGTGTTTTATCATTTTAACTAATTTTATACAGACAAACAATTTCTATAAATAAATAAATATTGTTATTAATATTAAAGTTAAACTATATAGTTGATTGATGAGTTAGTATGTCATAAATTCTGAGATGTGGAGTCAAAAAGACACTAAACCCAGCATAAAATGAGAGCGGCACTGTATTATCAATCAAAATTATGGCTCAGAAGAATTATGGGATGCTAAATCAAAGATTCACTCTGTCAACTAAAATGAAGATGCTGATTTAAAAATACCAGCTGTCAAGTCAAATCTATGATACAATCAAACATTTTGACCAGAGTGTCTCATTATTTTGCCAAAATCCTTTCATAAACAATCAGAATAATGATATTTAGAGTTAGTCAGTGGTGTGCATCTTTAATTATGAATCTGTGCTTGGATTGATTACATTATGGACTGGCCTGTCTGTGATGGAAGTGGCAAAACAGGGAACGTAATGGACAGTCAAACTTCATGCAACACTTTGATTTTGAAGTCTCAGTTGTTCTTTTTCCTTTTGTATCTTTACAGCTTGTCCTCCTCCTCTCACATTCCCTCACAGCCCGGATATTCCAGTTACCAACTACACGCCCACCTCTTGTTTCCGTGAACTGAGACTCGCGCATTCAGTGCTGGTGTTCAGCTGCAGTAGAAGTCCCCATAACAACTGACCGCAGACTCTTTCTCTTTATTATCTGCACACACAGCAGCTCCTATGTTTTTTGTTTTTTTATTGGTACACAGTATAAAGCTGTTATGAATAATTAATTACTGTACATCCTGTTGTCAGATATTGCCTTAGAGTGTGTCTTACTGAGATCAATACAACATTAGGTGATTATTACACAAAGGCCTTCAAACTCAGCACTGTTTCTGCAGAGACAATGTTTTGCGGCAAGTCATCAAGAGGTTTTTTATGGTAATATGAGAGTACAAAGGGTAAGGGAAGCATAAATTATCTTAAAAAAAGAATGATCTACCTGGCCTACTTTATCAGCATTGTCCTATATAGTAAACAGGGAGTGCATCTGACCTACTAACTTGAAGAAAAACTGGACATATCAGGGCCAGGAGTAGTTTTGTTGCAGCCTATTTTGTTGTGTTCTTTTCTGTCACGTTATTAGACTTTTCTCTAAAAAATAAATAAAACCAACAGCAAGGCATTGTCAAAACTTAGGCCAATCTGTAATGACGGGAAAACACATGAAACTGATTCTACAGAACTTGAGTCGGTCACTTCTAACGTACATTTTGAGGTTATTTTGTAAAGAGGAAATAGCAAATTGTGGTCATGACGCATGTTAAAGTCCTATTAGCTGCTAAAAAAAGAGAGAACAAAGTAAAAAGGAAACTTGTACAGAGAGAGAGTTCCCTGTAGTTCCCCTCTTTGACCACTCTTGTGTCACACATCATGACTCAGTAACGAAACTGAAAATGACTCAACCTAAAGTCAATTTATTAAAACACTAGTAAAACTGTGCAAAATACATCCCTCAATTTGCTTTGCATCAGCAGACAAAAACTGAAAAACTTCATCAGCCATGCCCTACACATTATCTGTTAGTTTTGAACATACAAAAAAACCCCTCTGGTATCAATATACAGCATTGTATACACATAAGAAAATAACAATACAAAAAGTAATACTGACAAAACCGATGTACCGTGTGTACAGACTCAACAGCTCCTGAATTTTGAATAAAATATACAAAATTGCATAACAAATATCACTGTAATTTATATTTTGTGTTTATGGAACTCAACAGGCAGATCAAAATCTTCCATTACCTGTTTGAATCTTTCAAATCTTTCTAATACTGTTTACCAATTATAATTAAATAATCCTTATGGTGCAGGATTACCAAATTCTGTGTTCAGCACCTCTTTTACCGAGTTTAAAGCTCTCTAGCATTCCTTCTTCAACACTCATTTAAACGAAATGTGTTCAAAACAGCATAAATTCAAACGTGGGGCTCTTCAGTGTCAACACAAGAAATATCTTCACAAACCTTTATCTCATGTAAATGATTTGAATAAACAACACTAGAGAGCAACCAGCATCCTTCACACACGTTCTCAAACTCGAGAAAGAGTGCCGCCATCATCTCACCACTGTCCTGAGGAGTCAGCGTCACAGCTTTACAGTGTCATGTGGCATTCATACCTGATGGTGAAATGGTGAGATATGCACAGAATGAGGGGGAAACAACAAGAAGCCTTAGAAAAGGGAAAGGAGTCACTTAGTGCTATTCTCCTGAGTGAGCCTCCAGGTCGGTGATCAGCACGTTTCCATCTGACTCTGTAGCCTGTGAGCTGCTTTGTCTGTAATAAGCGCTGCCGAGAGTTGGGAGACCACGAAAACGTGCAGAGTTCCTCCTGTACAGAAACCATATTGCCCCTGCCAGCAGGGCAAAGATCAGCACAGCCACCAGCACTGCAGCGGGGATGATACCGTGATGTAAACCTGGAAGACACAACGCAGTCACTCTTAGCATGCTAAAGCACACACTGCACAGCTTCTAGTCGAGCCTTATAATGAGATGATGGAGCTTATGGCAACTACGGGACACAATGAATTTGTCAAAGGTTTTGAAGTTATTGAATTTAATGTGCACTTTACCATTTAGCGGTTCCACTTCCACCTCAGTAATCACATCTGCAACAGAACCAGCACAGTGAAGTTCAGTATCCTTATCATATATCATCTTGGGTATTCAGAACAAAGAGGAAGTTCTACGCTGGCATTACTTCTCAGCAGTTACAGCATGAAATGTGATCTTGTTAAAAAAAAAAAAACAGTGCAGGCAAGATTGTCAAAAGAATCAGTATGAAAGCTGTATTTATTTCTCGCGGTTTTGTCTACTTTGTGCATCACTGCCACAGTCATTGTGCAAAGGCTTTTGCAGAAATTCTGTAAAAACCACAGACTTCTTTGTTAGACTATGCAAGTATCGAAACCTGAAAACAGTTACAAACGTTAACTGTGCAAATGAAAGCGCATCTATGCCAAGTGAATGGACACATCTCTCTGCATCCAGTGACAAATGCAGATGCATTTCTTTTAGATTTGGTTCTACTTTTTTTTAAGCAGCAAAATGTTTCACTATGTTCACCAGCTTGTTGCTAGGCAGGAGAGAGTTTATTAGGAATTTTTCAAAACAGTGAAAGCAATACATTTGAGCATATGAGGACCAAAACAATGACTGAAATGGAGAGTAGAGTTTGAGGGGAACTGCAGAATGAGGTGATCATTTTTTCTGGGTTTATCAAGACAAACAATCCCTTTAATATACAAGTGGTTTTATGATTAATGTTGAATATAAAACCATGGATTGTACCTTAGCTCTTAAAGAAAACCCCGACAATAACAGAAGTATACAGGGGCTTTGTGTTTGTGGCTTATACTTGATCTTCTGCTTACTTCACATTTTACTGCCAACAGAACTCATTGCTAATTTGTAGGAAATTCTCCCCTTTTATTGCTTTTCAACGTGAAATTATTGTCCATTTAATTTGGCCTTTTTGACAACAATTTCCAAAAAAAAAAAAAAAAAAAAGCTCTTCCATGGCAAAGTGAAAACAGATTTTTTTTGAATTATTGTGAATTAATTCATATATAAAAAAGATCAAACGTAAAACAAGTGACTGTTTTCATATTCACACCCATTAAAGTGACTCACCTAATTCAACAGTTAGACCAGTCAAATGGTGCTACAAGTCACACATTTACTCAAATTAAAGATCATCTGAGTGCAGCGGATGTGTCTCCAATGATTGTAGTATAAATAAATGCATCTGCAAGTTCCAGTCACTGCTGGATCAGTATTCTTTTTTGAAACTACATCATTACAACAACAAAAAAAAAACTTCAAGGAACTCTTTGAAAAAGTTATTGAAAAACGTAAGTTGGGGGATGGATACAAGAAACATTAACAAGTCACTGAATATCTATCCATCCATTACCTATGCACCGCTTAATCCTCACTAGGGTCGTGAAGGGCTGACTCAGGGTGAAGGCAGGGGACACCCTGGCCACCAGTCTATCACAGGGTTACACATAGAGACAAACAACCAAGCACACTCACATTCACAAACAATTTAGAATCACCAGTTAACCTCAGCATTTTCTGGACT